TCATTGCAGAGCCTTTAATTTGGAAATCGGAGTCTGTCTCCAAGAAGAATCCTAGAATCGGGATTTTTTGGGTGGCAGGTTATTAAACGAGGTTCTTCTTTCCGAGTAGTAAGAATTAACTGTGGTGCAGCGGGTTAAGCTGCCGCTTACAGTGGTAGGTAGCCCTCTGATAGCAGGGACCACCAGTCGGAGCCCCAGCTACTCTGCTGCTGATCCAGCTCCTTGCTAATGCACCTGGGAAGTCCGTGGAAGGTGGCTGAGTGCTTGGGCCCCTGCCACCTATGGGGGAGGTCTGGATGGAGTTCCTGGCTCCTGGCTTTTGGCTGTTGTGGTCATTTGGGGAGTGAACCAGTGGGTGGAACATCTCTTTGTCTCTGTGTGTCCCTCTCTCTGTAACCCTGCCTTTCAAACAAGTAAATAAACAAACCTTTAAAAAGAAATTGGCCATTTCGTGCCCCTCCCTACGTTGGATAAGGCTGCTTGTTAAGAAGGTGGGAGTGGCACGTGAGGGGTTGTCGTCTGAGAAACAGGGAGAGGGAAAGAACCAGAAACCAGCACTCTCTGTGTTTGCCAGAAGAGTGGTAGAGAATCTGCAGCCCCTGGCATCTGGAGTGGTGACGTAAGCAGCGCAGGTGTGGTTCACTAAGTCGTCTGCTTTAGGTGGACAGGCAGTGTTGGGGTGGGAGCATGCAGTGCCAACACTATTGCAAAAACTGCTGATTCACTGGCAGTACTGGGGTGTGTGTGTGTGCGCGTGCACATGGGTGTGCACTGGCTGTGTCTCCGGAGTCATCTAGTGGACTCCAACTCATTTGCTGATTCTCCTCAAAGTAGGTCAGCCCTCTGCTTATCAGTTACAGCAGACCGAGCAGTATCTAAACGAATTCCAAGCAGATTCCAGGCATTTCTCCCCGTGCCCTGGCTCCATGAATTCCCAGGGCTGTGGGTCTGGCAGGGGCAGGCAGGTGCTGAGGCACTGACTTGGGAGAGAGGTGAGCAGGCCTGGAGGAACGTGCATGGGCTGTGAGAAGCTGCAGCCAGGGCTTTGCAAGGGGGCCACGTCTCCTTCCACCCAGCACACACTCCAGGCTGGCTCCTCACTGAGCTCCCACAAAACAGGCCTGAACCCAGGAGGACAGTGTCTCCCCCTCAGCTCCATCTCATATGCTGTCCTAGAAAATGACAGAGTGGGTTATCTTCCCTGTCCAAACCCTGAGCACCTCTGAACTCGACTTGGAAGAGAGAACTGACAGCAAAGCCCACATCTCTTCATATCTCCCCTCCTGCCAATCACATCAAATCCACCCCAATCTCTGGCTGTCAGAGCCCCGGCCAAGCCAGTGGCAGACGCAGTGTGGAGCTGCCCTCAGGCTGAGAAGCGCAGGGCGAAGAGACCTACCCAAGAGGCTACTTCTCGGAGAAGCTACATCAAGCGCTGTGTTGAACACGTTGTCCTTGCACATGAGCTAAGCAGAGAGACTAAGGGGTGAATGGACGAGACAGAAAGCATGGAAGCCAGACAAGAGAAAGACATTTCAAAGCGGAGGTCTGGAAACACAGCCTCAGAAACCCCTGTAGTCAAGACAACTTGTCTAGCATTTGTGTGTCGCAGGTGTGCTCAGCTGAACACCTCTGGGCCTGTGCACCTGGGGAGAATGAGCCCCTACTGGGCTGAAATGCGTTCGCTCGCCGTGAGCCGAGTGTGCTCCTCCCTCAGTTCCCACGTTGCAGCCTTCACCCCGCCAGTGCATTTGGAAACAGATCTCCGGGAGCTACTGTGTTAACAGAGGTTATGAGAGTGGGGTCCTACTCTGATGGGGCCGGATCTCCTCAATAAATGGCGCTGGGAAAATGGATATCCGTCTGCAGAATGAACATGGGCCGTTATCTTTCACCATGCTCGGAACCCAGTGCAAAATGGACTAAGACAAACGTGAGACCCGAAACCATGAAACTCCTAACGAGGGAGAAGCTCCTTGAGGTTGACCGTAGCAATGAGGTTTTTGGATCTCACACCCAAAGCTGCAGCAGCAAAAGCAAGAGAAGCCAAGTGGGGTCACAGCAAACTAGAAACTTTTGCACAGAAGAGGAGGCAATCAACACGCTAACCTACCGTCTGGAAGAAAATATTTAGGAACCATACACCTGACAAGGGGTTGAGATCCAAAATATATGAAGAACTCACACAACAACTCAATTACAAGAATAACAATAAAAATGATTTCCAAGTAGCCTTCGGACCTGAATACACGTTTCCCTCAAAGGAAGCATAAAACCGGTCAACGGGAATAAAAAGGTTCTCAACAGCACTACTCATCAAGGGGATGCAAATCACAGCCTGTAGGAGCCATCGCCTCATATCCATGAGCGCGGCTGTTATCAGAAGGACAAGAGGAGCCAGCCCTGGTGGCAGTGCCCAGAAAGGCAGCCCTGTACACTGCTGGGGAGGGGGGCAGGAATTGGTGCCAGCGTTATGGAGGCTCTGTAGGAAATTAAACTCGAACTACTTAGGCTCCATCGAAGCCTCTGTTGGTTGTGTGGACGAGGGAAATGAAATCCGTGTCTGGTGGGGATATCTGTGTTGCCATGCTCCTGGCATCATCATTCACAGAGCTAAGCTATGGAAACAATACTCGCGTTCATGGACAAATGAATGGATAAAAGCACTGTGGTGGAGGCACACAGTGGGACATGTATTCAGCTGGAAGGAAGACTTGCCAGTTGCCCCAGCACAGATGAGACCAGAGCACATTATGCCAAGTGACAGACACTAGACACAGAAAGACTACTGCGTGTCTCACTTACATGTAGAATCTGAGAAAGCTGGATACGCAGAAAGTACAAGTGGAATGGTGATTGCCAAGGGCTGGGGTGGGGCCATGGGGTGATCTTGGTCAAAGGGTACAAAGTTGCATTGTGTCGGAGGAACAAGTCGAGAGAACACATGTTCAGCGTGAGGATGGCAGCTTATAATATTGTGATTTATGTTAGAAGTTTGCCAAGACGGTAGCAGATGCTTATAGCAGAAACAGACGGAGATAGAGGACATAGAGGTAGAGGAGGAGGAGGAGGACGAGGAAGAAGTGGGGCAAACTTTGTGTTGCACACTTTGAACATACACGTTTTTGAGAGGGCAACTTGAATTAACAAAAGGAAGAGGAAGACACCTGAGACCCCAGCTCTCCGTGGCGCGAGCACACGGCAGGAAGCGGCTGTGCCATCCGCAAGGCAGAAGGGAGGCCTCACCAGAAACCGGGTCTGCTGGCCCCTCGAGCTTGGCCCTCGCTCCCCAGAACCGAGACCGCGGGTGTCTGTTGTTTGAGCAGTGTAGCCTGAGTGGACTCAGACACACCCGAAGGCCACCGAGCTTGCGTGCCACTTCCATGTCCCGATGTCCCGAGGAGATCCCAAATGCGTTGGCTAATCCACTCATTCCATCCTCGCTGTTCTAGCCCTGTAACCCAGGGAGGTAAGTGCTACTGTCATCCCGTTGTGGGGAGGAAGAAAATGAGCATCCAGAACTCGATTCCAGCGTCCCCCTTCCTAGGGTCAGTTTGTCCAGCATCTGGCTTTGCCAGGCCAATGATACCAGAGCTTGGACAATTCACCTCCGGGCCTTAGGACACTGTGCCATTAAAAAATTATATACTTATTTATTTTCATTTTTTCTTTGAAAGGCAGAAAGAGAGAGAGAAAGACAGAGTTTTTTTTTTTAAAGTTTATTTTATTTATTTGAAAGGCAGAGTTACAGAGAGAGGGAGGGAGAGGCAGAGAGAGAAAGAGAAATCTTCCATCTGCTGGTTCACACCCCAAATGACCATAATGGCTGGGGCTGGGCCAGGCCAAAGTCAGGAGTCAGGAGCTTCTTCTGGGTCTCCTATGTGGATACAGGGGTCCAAACATTGGACTGTCTTCTGCTACCTTCCCAGGTGCATTAGCAGGGAGCTGGATTAGAATACCCGGGACTCAAACTGTCTCCCATGTGGGAGGCCAGCTTTGTAGGTGGTGGCTTTAACCCACTGTACCACAGCACCACCCAGAGAGAGAGAGAGAGAGAGAGAGAGAGAGATATCTTACATCTTTGGGTTCATTCCCCAAATGCCTACAACAGCCAGGGCTGGGCCAGGCCAAAGCCAGGAGCACAGAACTCAATGTCGGTCTCCCACGTGGATGGCAGGGAGCCGAGTGCTTGGGCTGTCACTTACTGTCTCCCTGGGGGCTCGTTGGCAGGAAACTGGACAAAAAGAGAAGGATCTGGGACTTGAACGAGACACTCTGTTTCGAGAGGCTGGGATGCAGGCACCCCAAGTGGGCGCTTATCTGCTGTACCAAGTGCCCGCCCCCATGATGGGATTGATGGTAGGAGCTTTTGTCACCATTGTGGTGGGAAGGGCTGGATGCAATTAGATTCCCTTGCTTACTGGCTGGAGTCCCCGCCCACGGACTCCCTGTGGGGCTGTCCATTTAAGTGCAGGTCAGGGGCAGGAAATACAGACTGGTCTAGGGCTCTAGTCTGGAGTCCTGTTGTCCCGACTGCATGCTGCTCTTGGCCTTTGTCCCTCTTCCTAAGCCCTGGAAGATGAGTCTCCAGGTAGAGCCAAGATCTGTGACCACGAGGGGCTGCAGAAAAGGGATCAGAGTGCCCGGGTCTCGTGCCCCATGGCCCTGCTCAGGGCTCTTGCCAGCTGGTGGGGAGCAAGTGCTAAACATTCCCCTCCTGGTTCCCGGGGAGGGAGGTGCTAATTCCCTGTCGCCCGTGGGTGACCAGCCAGGCTGTGTATGGGGAGCCCGGGTGCTGACCTGTGCTGGTGAAAATGATGGGCTTCTTGTCATGAGGACAGTGATGCTGTCAATCACTCTGACTCCAGCAGCCCTGATTTTAAAGGAGGAAAGCCCAAGTCCGGGGTGGGGTGGGGGGTGCACCAATCACAGGAGAACAAGAGGCCTGACATGGCAGTTCCTGTGGGGCTGGGGGGCGGGGCCTGCGGGCCGCTCATCGTCTCACAGCGAAAGAGGAGTAAGGCTGGTGAGGCTCGGTCAAGGAGTGAGAGGAGCAGCTTTCTGTTCTGTTCTTTTTCTTTCTTTCTTTCTTTTTTTTTTTTTTAATTTATTTATTTGGAAAGACTTACAGAGAGAGAAGGAGAGAGAGCGAGAGAGCTTCCAACTGCTGGTTCACTCCCCAGATAGCCACAACAGCCAAGGCTGGGCCAGGCCGAAGCCAGGAGCCAGGAGCTTCATCCAGATCTCCCACATGGGTGGCAGGGGCTCAAGCACTTGGGCCCTCCTCCACTGCTTTCCCAGGCTATGAGCAGGGAGCTGGGTTGGAAGTGGAGCAGCCGGGACATGAACTGGCACCCACATGGGATGCCAGCGTCACAGTCGGTGGCTTTACCCGCCACACCACAGCGCTGGCCCCAAGGAGCAGCTTTCAACATTAATTTTCTTCTCCTAATATTAGACTTTGATTAGAGGTTGAGAGCTTTTTTTCATTAAGAACTTTGCAGTGTCCATTTCCAAATCACAGCTAGTTAATAAGATTTCTATTTTATCAAGCATTGAAAATGCTGTTTCAAAAAGCTAGCTAGCTGTGTTGCCATGCGGGGAGGTCTATTTTATTCACGGATTCTTAGGAAGCTGAAAAGTAGCAGCAGGAGCCACAGTGATGAGGAGAAATTGTGTGCTGTGTCAAGTGAATGAAGATGAACCAGGCACTTCATGAGCATTACCTTTTTAAGAACATATTATTTATTTTGAAACACAGAGCAATAGAGAGAGAGAAAGACAGACAGACAGACAGCACTTCTATTTGCTGATCCACTCCCCAAATAGTGCAATGGCCAGGTTTGAGCCAGGCAGAAGCCAGGATTCTAATCAGGTCTCCCATGGGACTGGCAGGGGCCCCAACACGTGAGCCATCTTCTGCCGTGTTTCAGGCACATTATCAGGGAGCCGGATTGGAAGCAAGCAGCTGGGACTCGAACCCATGCTCCGGCAGACGCTGGCATTGCACGTGGCATCCTAACCCACTGAGACACAGCGCTGGCACCTCTGTCCATCATGCTTCAGCCTCCAAGCAGCCATGCAAGGGTGAGCTCTGTTCTTGCCTGCATTTTACAGAGGAACAGAGCAGTTGTCCAAGGCAGTTGGTGGACTTGTGAGAGACCGGAAAGAGAGGCCAGACACAGTGTTGCTCCTGCCCCAGCCAGAAGTAGAATGGGAGCCCCCTCTTTCTAGGGTTGGGTCTCTGGAGATGGGGCTCTGTGCCTTTTCTCATTCTCTGTTTTCTATTTTCCTCTATTCCTGTCTTTTTTGCTTGCAACAGAAACGTTTATTTATAAATAGCTACTAATTGACCAGTGCCCCCTCACTGTCAAGGATTGTTGAACACAACTTGGCCCAGGCCTCCAAGGGGTCTCACTCCAGTGGGAGAGGCAGACAGGGACTGTGGAGTCGGTGCTGAGTGGGGAGAGGGATGAACAGAGCAGCTGGGGATGGCACAGGGGGAAAAGCAATGAGGAGGAGGCGAGGAACAGCCCAAGAGACGGCAGTGGGGCAGGATCACGAAGAATCCAGACTCAGCAAGTACTGGGGGCTGAGCTGTGCCCCTCCCAAGTTTGTACGCTGAAGCCCTGACCACCAGGGTGATGTCTTGGAAGACGAGAACTTTGGGAAGTGCTTAGGGGAAGTCCTGAGAGGGGCTTCCATGATGGAACTGGTGGCCTCCTCAGAAGAATGAGAGACCCTCTGTGTCCACTGTGTTAGGGCACGGTGAGACCAGGTCAGGAAGGGAACCCTCACCGGGGACCAAACAGGCCAGCACGTTGATCATGAATGTCCTAGCCTGCAGAATGATGACAAATGGACATCTGTCCCCAGAGCCACCCAGCAAGTGGTATTTGTTACAGCGGCCCCAGCAGACCTAAGACCTTGGGCAAACGAGAGAAAGGCACACCTGGTGCAGAGAGGCGAAGCGGAGTCGCAGATGCTGGGATGTTCAGGACTCTGCAGGTGTGGCAGGTCCTCCACTTGGACTGAACGCTCAGGGCTGTTTGGAAACCCTCGAGTGAGCTGTCCTTGGCGTGTTCCAATCCCTGATTCTGCTGGGGAGCAAGGTGAGCAGGTGACGCGGGTGGGCAGGGCAGCTGGAAGGAAGCAAGCAAGCACGTGTGGTGTGAGTGGTGAGCGGCTGTGCCGTAGGTGGTGGACAGAGGGCGGCTGGTCCACAGGGTAGAGGATGCAGAGGTGTGACTCCCTGGGAGTCGGGAGCACGTGAGGGCTCTAAGGTGGGAGCGAGGTGTGCTGAAGACTGGAACGGAGAGAGTCTGGAGCATTGTGGGCCAGGTGGGCAGGGGCCAGGCCCGGGCCTGGGGGTACTGTAGGGGTTCAGAGTTGAACTCCAAGGAGTCAGAAATCCCAGTAGTGGGGCATACGACCCAGCGTCCATTCAGAAGCCGTGCCTGCCTTTGCTTGCCACGTGAGGAACACAAGTGGGGGCCCAGAGTCTGGATTCCCAGACTTGGCTGCGGATCGGAACCCAGTGGGGGCTGTAAAATATAATTAAAAATGGGTCTCAACTTCTGCCGATGGTCTTTCCTGCTGCACCGTAGCACGGCGGAGGGCATGGCGTTGAGGTCAAGCAGGCTGTTAGCTCTTCTTACAACGCCCCAAGCCGTCCTGGGGACCCCATTCTGATGACCTTCTGTAACTCATATTCAGACCCACCGTGGGGTCTGCATGTGCTCCAGCAGCCGGGAGGGCGAGGTGGACAGACCGATACGGGGGAGGGGGAGGTGAGTCAGTCCCGCCACGCTCATCCTTAGGGGAGGAGCGTGAATACTGAGGAGTGGGCTGTTGATGGGAGGATCGATGCCCCCTTCCATTTTAACAGGGACAGGCACGGGGAGCTTTGTAAATCAGTTATGGGAAAACGAGAGCACGCTTAGCTGATAGATTTCATTTTTTCAATTAAGTCTAATTAAGCAGACACGAGCTGCAAGCAAGGAGCCAGGTGGAAGTGGGGGTGCGAAGGAGCCAGGGGAGGTTGGGGGAGTGTAGAGAGGGTGTGAGGTCACTGCTGGGCAGAGACGGCCAGCACACCCCCGGGAGGCAGCTGGGCATTTGGGGCAGGCTGTGTGCTCCTCCGAGGGTGATGCCCACACACTGGGGTTTTGGTTTTCCCCAGCAAAGCGCAGAGGCACAGGGAAAGGAGATGGGGGGCTTCATCCTGGCCTAGGAGTTTGCAGGTCTTTGATGATTTTGACCAGAGAAATCTTAATGAAGAGGGAGGGCAGAGGTGGGGCAGTGGGGCGGGGGTGGCAATGGGAGGTGGGCTGTTCCACTGCCCTTCAAGAGAACTGGGCTGACTGCCCCCAGCGGCCATGCCTCTGCTTCCTCCTGGAGCCCTTGACGAACCCTGCCCTCCCGGCTAATGGCTGTGGGTCCTGGTGTAATGGTGGGGGTCCTGCTGTCCTTTGGTGGGGAGGGAGAGAGGGAGGAGGGCAACATCATAATGTCCTTAGATTTGTACCTAAAAACCATATTGAATCTGTTAGAAATTAATTAAAATTAAAATGATTTTTTAAAGATTTATTTATTTACTTGAAATTCAGAATTACACAGAGAGAGAAGGAGAGGCAGAGAAAAAGAGAGAGAGAGAGAGGTCTTCTATCCTCTGGTTCACTTCCCAATTGGCCACAATGGCCCGAGCTGCACCAATCCGAAGCCAGGAGCCAGGAGCTTCTTCCAGGTCTTCCACATGGGGGCAGGGGCCCAAGGACTTGGGCCATCTTCCACTGCTTTCCCAGGCCATAGCAGAGAGCTGGATTGGAAGTGGAGCAGCTGGGACTCAAACTGGCGCCCATATGGGATGCCGGCACTGCAGACCATGGCTTTACCTGCTACACCACAGTGCTGGCCCCAAGATTTTGTTTATTAGAGAAAGAGGGAGAGGGAGAAGGGAAGGAGGAGGGGGAGAGGGGGAGGGAGAGGGAGGAGAGGGAGGAGAGGGAGAGGGGGAGAGGGAGGAGAGGGAGAGGGAAAGGGAGAGTGTTATAGAGAGAAGGAGAGAGAGAGAGAGGTCTTCCATCCCCTGGTTCACTCCCCAAATGGCAGCAATGGCCAGAGCTGGGCTGATCCAAAGCCAGGAGCCAGGAGCTTCTTCCTGGTCTCCATGTGGGTGCAGGGGCCTAGGAACTTGGGCCCTCTTCCGCTGCTTTCCCAGGCCATAGCAGAGAGCTGGATCGGAAGTGGAGCAGCAAGAAAACGAACCGGCGCCCATATAGGATGCCAGCACTGCAGGTGGAGGCTTAGCCCATCACACCACAGTGCCAGTCCATGTGTTAATTTTCTATTGTGTAAGAAACTACTACAACGTCCTGCTTCCTCTGGGCCAGTAGTTAGGGGAGAGTGGGGGAAACGGAGGGAGAGGGACTCTCACCTCTGGACCGGTTTCTTACAACCTTACTTGATTCGCTCGGGCCCACCCAGCATAGATGCACTGTTGATTGATTTTAAAGTCATTTTCATGATCCCCGCAATGTGTCCTCACCTGTGCTACCCAGCACCATAATCGCATCTCTCCTGTTCCTGGGTCCACCACTCTCAAGCAGAGTGGGTTGCCCAGGGCATGCGCCCCAGGAGAGAAGCCGTCTGGGGGTCATGTGGAATTCTGCCTACCATAGCTTCATAGCAGGTGAAATGAAGGAAAATTAATTTACTTATTTATTTACTTATTGGAAAGGCAGAGAGAGCAAAAGGAAGATGGGAGGTGGAGAGAGGGAGAGGGAGAGGGAGAGAGGGAGAGGGAGAGAGGGAGAGAGGGAGAGAGGGAGAGAGGGAGAGAGGGAGAGAGAGAGGATCTTCCATCTGCTGGTTCACTCCCCGAATGCCCACAACAACACAATAGCCAGGTCTGGGTTAGGCCACAACCTGGAGCCAAGAACTTCATCCTGGGCTCCCATCTTCTGTGGTTTTCTCAGGCTCATTAAGCAGGGAGCTGGAATTGAAAGAGTAGCAGCTAGGACTGGAACCGGTGTCTGATTTGGGACGCCAGCAGTGCAGGTGCAGCTTAACCCACTGCAGTCTCGTGCCGGCCCCAAAATGAAAAAACAATTTAAGTCTGTTTTCTTTTCTGATTGCATAAACAACACAAGTTTGTAGGATAGAGTTTAGATCTGCAGCAGTGTACAAAAAGATAAATTATTTATACTGAATTTAATATATATTAAATTAAATTATACTCATACTATCACCCCCCATAGATGCTGCTATAATGCTGATGTATTATGCTTTATATTATGGGCCCACCGTTTGGAATTCTTTTCATTTATTTTCAATTTGCCATTAGATTAAGTGTTCTTTGAGAATATGAATGGGACTCACAATACAGTACTCCAGCGTAGGAATGCACAGCGGTTCAATTTATTTACTCGTTTTCCCTTTACACTGTGTTTGCTTCCAGTTTTCAGCTGTTGCGACGAATGTTGATGAACTTGGTCCAGCACGCCCAAGTGCTTGCTCAGAGCTCACCAGGCACCTGAACCGTTGGGGCGAGGGCCCCTAAACTGGTAGGGTTAGAGATGCCAATAACGAAGAGCAGGCACAGCCTGAGCAGGTTACGGTGGAAAATAAAACCCGTTCTTATCTGGGCACAGTTTTTTCACAAGCTTTTCTTGGGGGTGGGCAAGGTGCTCCTAAAGTACTCCAACGTAGGCTTCCCGGCGGCTGCTCCAAGTTAGCCAGACTCACACGGTGTCTGGCTGGCTGGCACCGGACTGGCTATGCCATCAGAGCAGCTTCAGGACAGTTCCTGGAGCACAAGTGCAGAGTGGGAGGAGGAGGTGGGAGGACGGCGGAGACGCTGTGGGGTTGCACAGGACGGTGGAGTTGGGGGTGAGGGGGGCTCGTGATGGAGAGAGTGAGAGGGAAGTGCTTAGGTCGGGGACATTCGGTGGCTGAGCACGGAAGTTGCCTGTGATGAGTGAGGAGCTCGATGAAGTGACTTCAGATGCACTGCTGTTTGTGTCCTTGTGGGTCTGGGTTTAACCTTGGTACTTGGCTTACTGCGGCTCCTCTTCCTGGGAACCACTTGGTGCTGATGGTGAGTCCACACCACCCCAGGGTCTGTGCCGTCTGGTGCTAAAGTGGGCGCACTGTGGCCCCTGGTCTGAGGGGCTTGGTTCTGGGAGTGCTGGCAGAGCCCCTGCCCAAGCTCACTTCAGGGCTTTCCTGAAGGGGGGCCCCCCAGGGGCTGCCCACTGTTCAACCTTTCCAGATTTCCTAGGAGAGTGTGTCCTTATGTGTATGTGTGTATGTGTGCACGTATGTGTGCATGCATGTATACGTGTGCACATGCCTGCATGTGTGTCTATATATGTACATGTGTGTATATATGCATGTGTGCATGTATGTATCAGTGTGCATGTGTGAGTGTGTGTATGCAAATGTGTATGTGTGTATGTGTTTGTGTGTATTAAGTGTGTGTGTGAGTGTGTGTATATGTATGAGAATGTGTATATGTGTGTATGTGTGTGTGTCGGGTAACAGGAGGAGGGGTGAGGCCAGGAAACAGCACGGATGCTGGGCCAGATGGAATTGGGGTCTCCGGGAGAGGCCAGGGCAGGTGGGCTTTGGCACGTGCATACCTGCTTCGGTCCACTCTGGGCAGCACCTGCACTCTGCATGTTGGTGTGATGGACACCACGTCCCCCTGGACAGTTGCACCTGAGCCTCTGCGGTGCTGTCTCTGTGGGAAGCAAATGGCCATTCCCTTGGCAGGGGTGTGGCCCCCAAGTCCCCCTGCCCTCTTTCTCCTTCTCAAAGCAGCTGTGGGCCTGCTCGGGCCAGGGAACACCCATGGCGTCGGGCTCTGGCTTCCCCTCCACCTTGTTCTCTGCCCTTTCGAGCCGGGCGTGGCAAGGGTGCACGTGTGTTTGGGACGGCGTGACTTACTGGTGGTTGCTCCACGGTGACTCTCCAGGGCGTGCCTCTGCTTCTCGAATCCTGGATGTCTCAGCTTTACAACAGGTGTAGACGGAGCTTCTCCTCCAAGGGGAGAGACTTTGCTCCTTGGGGCATTTGGCGGTGGAGACACTGTTGATGGTCACTACTGGGGCGTGTGTGTGTGTGTGTGTGTGTGTGTGTGCCTGGAATTCCTGAGTAGAGGCCAGGGATTTCGCTAAATATCTCATACTGCACAGGGCAGCTCTGTCCACAAGCAAGAATTATTCTGCCCCACATGTCAATAGTTGCAAGGTTGAGAAACCCTGATGCAGACCAAAGCGCTACCACTGTTACCGAGAAGCCTGGGTTCTGGTGTGCAAGCCACAAGCACTTCCCCGAGTTTGCACAGGAGGCGTCTGCCCGGACTCTATTTAGGGAAAGAACCATGACCTACTTTCTAGCACTTTCCCTACAGCATGATCAGTCAAAACAATTCATATATCCCTGGTCCGGGAGAAAGCAAGCAAACAAATGTCGACATGTATTTGGCTGGGCAGCTAGAGGACTCATAATAAGGAGAGACCTCAGGCCACGGAACTTCTCCTGGCCTTGAACTGCCTACCTGGAAGCCCACGGAGAAAGCGCACTAAGCTGGGAGAGTGAACAGGCCCTGTGCTGCCCAGGCGATCTCAGACTTTTAAATCCAAGGCAATGAGTGGGTCAGAGCTCCTGGGCGGAGGCCTGCCCTGTCCTCCTTGGAAGCCTCAGTTTTACAATCTGTAGCAAGAGGATGCTAACCCCTGCCCTGGGTAAGTCACAGGCCTGTTTGTTCTTGCTTTGTGAGGCATATGTCCACACCTGGCTCTGGGCGACCATGTAACAAGGATATAAAAGGCACTTTGCAAGGCCGGTGCTGTGGCATAGCAGGCTAAGCCTCCACTTGTGACGCCAGCACCCACTTGGGCTCTGGCCCCTGACCCAGCTGGTCCTCTTCCAGGCCAGCTCTCTGCTGTGGCCAGGGAGTGCAGTGGAGGATGGCCCAGGTGCTTGGGCCCTGCACCCGCATGGGAGACCAGGAGAAGCACCTGGCTCCTGGCTTTGGAGGGCCCAACTCTGGCTACTGTGGCCATTTGGGGAGTGAACCAGTGGATGGAAGGCCTCTCTCTCTGTCTCTCCCTCTCTCTGTCTATAACATTATCTCTCAAATAAATAAATAAATTTTTTTTTAAAAAAAGGTGCTTTGCAAAGCTGGTGTCTGTGATGCATCCTGGAGCTGGCTGTAGTATTGGGGTGCAACAGGGATGATGCCCCTGGGGGCGCATTGGAAGTGCAGACCCTCCAGCTCCAGCCCAAACCTGCTGAGTCAGGGTCTCCATTCTAGTAAGACACCCAGGGAATCCCTGCGCTCTTGTAGAGCCTGAGGAGACACCTACTGCTGCCACTCCTCAGCTCATGTGCACCTTGTAACTCAGAGAGATGGCCTCCCTTTGGGCAGCTGATGGTAAATTAGTGTGATAGACTGATGCTGTGGGGACCGATTCCCGTGGTCTTCCTTCATTGCAGACAGCAGTGAGGCAGAGTGTCTTACATTACCAGGTCAGAAATTTAATCTTGGAGACTGTCTTCTCTTTAACAGGTACCTATAACCAATGCTGTAGTATTTTCAAACTGTTATCACTTCAATGTGCTATCTGGGGGCTGTGGGTCAGAGGAGGGGCTTTAAGAATTTCCCAAAGCTGTCATGCAAAATTGTGTGCGTTCAGTTCCCTGGGAAGATAACCCATACCCGTGTCCCTTGGATTCATCACATCCCCAGTGGGGTCTTCATTCCAGATACTGAGAACCGTCAGTGCGGATACCTTTGTGCACCAAACATGTAGGGCGAGCTGACTGTAGCACTGGGCTACATCTTGTCAATGAAGAGGCAAGCTCTGTGATGGCACAACACTGGTGGTGAATCATTTATTAAACTTACACGGGGCTGGCATTGTGGTGCAGAGGATTAAGCCAATACTTGGGACCCTGGTATTCTATTTCAGAGTGCAGATCTGAGCCCTGGCTGCTCAGCTTCCGATCCAGCTCCCTGCTAATGCACCTGAAAATGCAGCAGAAGATGGCCCAAGTGCTTGGGGCCCTGCACCCATGTGGGAGGACCAGGTCCTGGATCCTGGCTTCAGCCTGGCCCAGACCTGGCTGTTGCAGCCATTTTGGGTGTGAACCAAATGAGATTCTGTCTCTCTCTTCCTCTCTCCCTCTCCCTTCTCCCTCACCCTCTCTTTCTCTCCCCCATCCCTATCCTCTGCCTTTCAATAAATAAATACATCTTTTTTAAAAAAAAATACAAAGGAAGAGAACCAGAGAGAAATCTGAGAAGTATTAACTTAATCAGGACACGCTAAAGAACGCAACTGAAAATTTTTAAAAACCTGCTTGGTGATTGGTCTGTTTAGGCTTTCTATGTCTTAATGGCTCAATTTTGGTAGATTATATATGTCCAGAAATCTATCCATTTCTCCTAGATTTTCCAATTTGTTGGCATATAGCTTGTTTGTAGTAATTCCTGATGATTATCTTTTATTTCTGTAGTATCATCATAACATCATCTTTTTCATCTCTGATTTTATTAATTTGGGTCTTCTAACTTTTTCTTGGTTGGTTGGGCCCATGGTGTATTGATTTTGTTTATTTTTTGAAAAAAACCAGCTTTTCATTTCACTGACATTTTATATAATTTTTGGTTTCAATTTTGTTTATTACTTCTCTATTTTTAATTATTTATTTCTTCTGCTAAAACCTATAAATATTTTTATTTGATATTTGCGGGCATATATATTTGTCATGCAAAATTGAAACAATATCATGGGAATGGAAATGAGGCAGGAAAAGTACCTGGTGGGCACTTCCATGAAGTGGATTTTTATTGATAGGTAATAAAAATGTCCAAGACGGTGATTCTGGAAACATCACCTAATGCGTTCCCCTCCCAAGTGTTTTAATTTAATTAGGAGGCAGGTTGATCATGGTGTGTCACAGCGCTTACAACCTCAGTGTCTGGGAGCGACGCTGGGTTGGAAGTGTGGTTTCCACAAAGGCAGGGATGGCCTCCTGCCTCCATGGCATCGCGGGACAACACACGGCTTCTCCTCTGATGCCCGTCTCGCTCAGCCCTTACGTGGATCTTCCTCCTGTCTGCTCCCTGACGCGGCCCTGTCCCTCAGGTCAGCATGGAAGGAGTGGGGGTGGGCAGGGGTTGGAGGTCACTGGTAGCCGTCCAGAGGAGCTGGACAGAGACCCAGGCTGCACTCCACAGACGAGCGTGGACAGGAGTCCTTGCCCGGTGGGCTCCTGTTCTGATTTTTAAGGAGCTCCTGCTGCCTGCGGTGCGGGGGCCCTGTGTCTGTGCTGCCCCGCGTGGTGGACAGGGCGGGGGTCACAGCAAAGCCGTGGTCCACGCTCCCGGCGTTGACATGCAGCTCCGGGCGCCGGGAGTCACGGTGCAGGCCCCCCTTTCCCACTTCTCCACCAGAGATGTCTCCAGGACGCGAACTTTCTGGAAGACACGAAGCATCAAACTGGACCTCCCTTCGGTCCCTCTAGGCTGAGTTCGGTGCTCCCGGCGCTGCCTGGCACGTAGGAAATGCTGGTTTCCATCTTGTCTGGAGGCCCGACTCCGTCCCCGCAGAATGTCCCCTGGGTCTGTGAGGCAG